AGGTATTTACATTAAATAAACTCTGGAATTTATTTTTTATTTTTCAACTCCAAAACCATAAACAGCCCGTATACAAAGTGTTCAATAATTGTCATCACTTCTGCAATAACTGGTATACACTGTATTTGCCCCTTATTTTGGTCAATTTTCGAAATGATTAAAATAAAATGGTGAGACCCTTACTGTGTGCATGTTGGGCATGCTCACCGGCGGCGGCATATGCGGTTGCATCATCGCTTGCGGCTGATACGACTGCATGGGATGTTGCGGTGGTCCCGGTCGTGGGGCGCTTGGAGGCGCTGGTCGCGTCGTTGGAGGACCGTTCCAGCCGGGCCGCACCCCCATACCTGGTGCAATAGTTTTCGGTGCCGTATTATTAACGATGGGCAATTGAGGTGGCGTACTCTTGTTCGTGTCCCACGTTCCTATATCCATGTTGTGTTTGCCGGGCACTATTGGACCCGGCGGCATACCTGGACCTTTCTTTTTCAGTCCTTGATTCTGTACGGTCAATTGGGGTTTAGCCGGTTGGCTGGCGATGCTCGCCCAAGTCGTTTTTTTCGCCTGACCGAGCGGTTCTTTAGACGATTCCGACGACGATTTTATGTCTAAAAACAATTAAAATGTCACGTTTGAGTTTGATGTAAGGAGAAATCGTGCGTTTGCGACGATTAATAATTGAGTGTTTGTTAAATTAATGGTTAATTATGGAGTCGGGCTCAAAAAGATGATGCTCCGTGAAATTATGTCTTTTTTATCACGAACTTATTGAATATAATTGGGCTGCAGCTGTTGTGACTCAATAAAACTTAAGAATGGACCAAATAAATCAATCTCTTTAATTTTCAAAGAAATATTTGCATTCGCTTATTTTCAATAAATACAGAGTGTTCAAATGAAAACGAGCCGTCCCGAATATCTCAGAAACTAAAAAGACTTTGTAAAAACGCCGAAACAGGTCAATTTTGTTTCCGAGGTAATTTTTAAAGCACTCCCAGTAACCCCCAACCCCCACGCACCCCAACTTTAAAAATTTAAAAGGCACTACCCTACTTGTGGCACATCACATGAAAGCTATTTTTTTAACAAGCTTTTCAAAACTATTTACCAAAATTAAATCAGACCATCTATTCATGAGAATAAAAACGAACCAAAAAGAATTTGCAAAAAAAAAACGAAACAGCTTAATTTTGTTTTCAAAAGGAACATTTTTTAAGCAATTTTAAAAGCAACTTCACTATTCCTTTAACCTTTATGCCACTCAACTCTAAAATGTCAAATAGCACCAATCGCTAGTGATACAAAAAATGAAAACACTTTTAAAATAGCTATATTGCTACTTTTTAGATACTTACATTAAATTATAAGAAACTTCATTACCCCTTGTCCTTTAGTACGATTATATTGTCAATAAAATAAAGAAATAAAAATAAGTTTCTTACAGCTCCAATAATACTTACAGCAATATTAGTAAGTTTCTTGTATTTTTTTTAAATAGTTTTTATTAGAAATTATTACTAATTAGAAACATTGTCTTTGGAAATATCTTATGAATAGATAATCCCATTCAACTTTATAAAAAAGGTTTAAACAACATTTTAAAAACACTTTTAGTGAGTCGGTGTCATTTGAAATTCCGAAATTGAGGTGGAAAAAGTTAGAGGGTTAGTGGGGGTGCTTTTAAAATTGTGTCAAAAAATGTCTTTTTTAAAACAAAATTAACCTGTTTCGTTTTTTTTTTTTGCAAATTCTTTCTAGTTCGTTTTTATTAGAACTCCCTGTATCTCATGAATGAATGGTCTGATTCAATTTTGGTAAAAAGTTTTGAAAAGCTTGTTAAAATAGCTTTCATTTGATGTGCCACAAGTAGGGTAGTGCTATTTAAATTTTTAAAGTTGCGGTATGTGGGGGTTAGGGGGTTATTGGGAGTGCTTTAAAAATTACGTCAAAAAATTTCCCCCTCAGAAACAAAATTGACCTGTTTCGGCGTTTTTGCAAAGTCTTTTTAGTTTCTGAGACACTTGGGGTGACTCGTTTTGATTGGAACACCCTGTATATATATCGCCTATTTTCATGCCCCGAATTGTTCTTGCTTAGGCACTTCTAACACAATCACGTAAGCAGACATCGATAAAGAAAGATTCAAACATTGGAAAATCAATTATTTAACAAATTAAGTTTACAGTGAATTATATACGAGTTTTCTACTTATAATACAAACTCCTAAAAAATTAGTCACAAGTTAAAAATATATAAAAATAACTTTGAAAGATCGATTACTCCACGTCGCAAATTCTTGATAAATTAAGAAAGAGTATTAATGTCGATCATTATTGAGAGTAATCATTCATCAGATAAAATTATCCATAAAAAGGCTACAGTGCAGAATTAAATTTACTACAAACAATCCCGTTCTAAAATTACAAATTATAAATAAACCGACTTCCGAGAAATAATATACAACAATTATAACGCAATTTCCACATTACAGGCGGTATCATTTCATAGAATTATCATGTCAGTTTTGAAATGAAATTTTATGCACTTTATTTTCATTACAGTTAGACAAAACATAGCGTTTGCTAAACAATGAAAAGGAAAATTTCGCAAATAGCATTGTTTATAACGAAATTGGTTCATTTCAACTAATTAGCCGCCAATTAGTGAAAGTTACCACCACATTCATGATTATACTATTTGTTAGAGAGCAACACATTTAATCACCTAATTTATAAATAAATCGTTGTTAAAACACGCAATTTAAAGAAAAAATATTCTTTTTGGGTCCTTCTCACCTAGTATTTGCATGGCCTGCTCGACACTTTTTATCGAGTCTGGCACTGCCTGAGTGTACATGTTTGAAGGGTCCCTGTAGTAGTCCTCGTACTTCCGTTGTCCTCCCAACTGACTTCCCCACGTGCTGTAGTCGCCGTTGCTGTGTGCTGTGAAGTAGTTGAAGGATGACGGTTGTCCGAATGCCGTCGGGGTGGAAAAAGTCGTCGATGGACCGAACATTCCTTCAATAAAATCGTTGAAAAAGTAACAAATAATTAATAAACCGAACTAACCGTCCATTGAGTATGAGTCGTGAGGATAGCCGCTCAAAAACGTCATCGGATCTGTACCGTTCGACCATGTCCCGTCGCCTACACCGTACGCTTGATATGGATAAGTTCCTCCGCTCCCGTAGTATCCTTAAAAACAACCAGGAATTAACACGGGAATGTCGGGAAAGGAGGGAAATGACAAGAAATGTGCACGACTGGCAGCGACTCACTTGTAAAACGCACAAACATCGTTCACGTTTTCAATACGACTTTTTTTGAATTTTGAACATAACCTCAATGATTTTTTGCAAAATTTTAAATTACAGGAAACTGTAATCCGAAGCGTGTCAAATTTTGAACTGAAACGTTTTTGTTGCAATAACTGCAGTTGTGTGTTATCGAAATGATTCATATTGTGATATTACGGAGTGAAAAAGAATTTCTCGCGGTTGCAACAGACGGAATATCCAATGTTATTCAAGCATAAAGTTTGTATTTGGATAGCGTTTCAAGGCCCGTCTGCGGCTCGTTTATTGCTTTCAGGTGTACCTGCCGTGCTCATATTGTACAAATCTGTCGCACTTGAAATGGGGACTGATGGATAGGCTGTGTGAGCGGCTGAATTCTGCTGCTGGGACCTCCATGGTTCGAATTCCTCTGAGCCGCTAGCGCCTTCACCCGCTCCTAGCTGTTCTTTAGGGCCATTGGACACTAAAATACCAAATTCGGCCGTTTTCAAACATTACGCTCCGGTTAAAACAACGTCGGTCTTACCTTGATTTCCCTGTCCTTTCATCCGCTGTGACATAACCGGCGCATGAAATAGAAATTTTACGATTAATTGCCGTTATCAACGAAGAATTTTATTGCAGATTTGGTTGTGGATTATCTCGGGAAACTGTCAAAATGCTATTTTGATTTTTACCTGATCTGACACGCCTGCTGACATTGACTAGTCTTTTTCTATTGTTTTTCGCACTTAAGTCAAACGAAAAATTAACCGCACTATTGCACTAATTTCCTGATTCTTAACCACTTACACTAAAAACTCGAGTTTAATGTTTATTATTAGTTCTTTTAGAGGTATTTATAGAAAATAGTCAATCCGTCCAACAATGGCGCTTAGTAACCGCGATTACTGCGCAGGCAATGGCGCATAGAGGGCGCCACAAACCACGCGCCATTGACAACGCGCCATTTTTAAATTCTTGTTTACACCGGCTACATAACCCACCTCAACTCATCCAATAGTCTATTAAAGCATGAGGGTGCAAAGTATTATATTAAAGAACAAGTTTTATAAGGGTTGATTTGGCGCACGAATCCCAAGTTAGAAAACGAGCAGCAGGCGAGTTTTCTATGGGATGAGTGCGCCAATGCCATTATAAAACGAGTATTTTATGCTATTTTTTCTAATTTGCGCACCCTTTTTTCTTATTTTAATTAAAAAAATATATTTTTTTGTCGTCTAGAGAATTTTGTGTTAGTTGGTATCGGTTGGTAACACTCGGCGCCCACCTGATTTTTTCAATCATTAAAAATAAAATATACAAATTATTAGTTATTAGTGTTACAACATAATAATAATAAATAAAATATGAGCCAACAGAATTTAGTTTGCACTCCGCCCGAAATTCGCGAAATTGTCGAAGCAACAACGCAAAATTTGTTACCTGACAAGTCAGAAGCGGCATACAAAAACTAAATAACCCTAAATTCATAAAAATAGTGTGCTTTTATGGATAGCCATAAACGACTCCTACTGAGAGAAGTTAATAAACGTATTATAAACGCAAATTAGAAAATAGTTATTTATATGATAAGTGCAGTGGGTATAATTTTACAGCGTGAAGTTTTAGTGAATTGAAAGTTGCAAAATACTGATTTTCACCACAAGATGGCGCTGATCAAAATTTCACATCCCGTCAAAACAAACCAAATAAACCAATCAAATATTGTTCTTAATTTATTACCACACACAAGCTACAAAATCACAACTATATCACAAAAAGACAGTTCACTCATTTACTCAACCAGCAGTACAGTAACAGTATGGAAAAATACGTCTCCATAATTACACGATTCGTGATTAACAATTATTGCTACAACTATTTTATCCTTAATTTCGTCGATTGCAGGAGGCTGAAATTGCCAAACTGTACATATTTTTCTGAAATAAAGGGTACATAAAAAGCTCTGAAGAATCGATGCGACTTTTCCGCATTCAAAAATCTGTAACTTTTCAAGATTTTCCACCGATCCTTCATTTTCGCATAATTCGGTTCCAGTTCTGTTTCCTTATCTAAATCCAAATCCAGCAAAAAATGGCATTTGCTCAAATTGAAATATAAACTCGGTTCTTCTTGATTTTGGTCGTTGAAATGATCGTGAACGATGTAAGTCGCATTGCTACCGGCGGAATAAGGTGCCGGTAACAAGCCTTTAAATTCCGATTGGACAAAACGGACGTTCCAGTTTTTGTTGGGGAGGAAAAACGATGAAGGATATCTGTGCCAGTCTTTCCCCAAACAAACGTTAATTATTGCTCGTTCTGGAACGCTGGATTCAGCCGGAAATCGGTTCAATTCAATTAGTAGGTCAAGAGGGGCGTGGTAATTTTTATACAGTGCAAAAATTCGTGAAACATCTAAAAAAAACAATTGTGGAAACTTTTCAGAAATTTCCCTAAACTCACTAAAAATCCCTGTGACTGCAATTGTTGCCACCATAATAAACATCGTAATGTCTAAATAGTGGGTACCATGTGGTACTGTCTTTATTAAATTCCATATTCTGAAAAACAACTTTTGGGCAATGTCGACTGTGATAGCCCCACAAAGACAGATCATTGGATAAACAGGAAACAAAAACCGTTCTTCTTTATGAGGTTGCAACATAAAAACACCCAACCACAAAAATAGAGGACTTATAGACAGCCAATAGGGCAAATAAAGTGTACTTTTGTTTTTCATTGGTAGGAAGAAATGACCCAAAATTATAGCCACAGGACTCAAGAGGGCTAAAATCTGTTTAAAAAAAAATAACGTTACAATTTTTTTCTTGGAACTAACTTACCCATATAAAATTAAAATTGATAAACCCATTTATGAAATAAAACGAAAATGGTTCAGTCCCGTATAAGTTGGGACCAGCACCCCCAAACACGTTGTATAGAACGATATTCAAGGGGGCTATCGTAACACGGCCGTATTGGAATGAATCGATTAAAATCATGGGTAAAAGCACCACCGATCCGGAAATAACCCCCCAAGCAAAAAAATCCAAGTACATTTTTCTGCGAATTAGCATATCATAGGCGATGGGGACTCCTAGAAGAGCCGCAAATGGCCATCCTGAAACATTTCACCGTCAAATTAAGTCGTTTGGTTGTTTTCTTTACCAAGGAGTGAGCCCAAAGCCGTGAAGAAAATCGCAAGGGGGTACCTCTGTTGCCACCATGCGGCACAAGCAGCCGCGAATGTGTACATAGCAAAACTGCTAGGTAAAAACGCAGTGCTTGATATAAACATCCCCGCTGCGAATATTTGGAAAAACAGGCAAACGCGCCCTATGTGGACCCCAAATTCGCGACAAACAGCCCTGTTTGAACCACATTTAAAGCATGAAACGTCCATAAACAACTTACTTGTAAAAGTAAACTTCTGCAAGGGCACAAATCAGCCCCAACAAACATCTGATAAAATAAAACATCAATAACGGGTTGGGTTGCAGCAACTTGTGGTAAATATACGCGGGGGCTGCATGGCACATCAAGTAAGTATACGACCGTAGCGCATACTGGGGGCTGTACTCCCACGTCTGGAGCCCTTTCCCGAAAACCAAATAGTGCATGGGCTCCCAGTAGTTGTACGTTTCATCGCAATCGGAGATGTGCGACCAAATCGCAGCACAAAACCTCGCCGACAGCAGTGCTTTGAACGCGGTGTCGCCCCCTGGGTACACCAAACCCCCGCTGTTTTCTGGTTTACTGCAAAAACATTAGAGGAGTTTTAGACGTAACCTCACTTTTACCTCGGTGGCGTTTTCGGGGCTTTTTGATGTGCTGTTTTGTGGCTGTTCTTACGTGGCTGCTGGGAGGCATTCTGGCGCAGTCGGAAAGACGGCTGGCTTCGCACCATTAGAGGGTTTTTATTGAAAATTTCAGAGTTATTGCTACGTGTGCTATCGCCCCATTTGGCAATTTTGACAGATGACGTGGGGGTGGTTATGCAACCACTGATGCAACTCAGGGGAAGGAATCACAAAAGTTCAATGGCAATAATTTTAAATTTTATTAGAAAAAGAAAACTTTTTGTATCTAATAATGATACCTAACTAAATATTAATAATAAATTTAAACCACACGCTTTGACATTTAGAAAGTCACGTGACCAACAAAATTAAAAACAAAAATTTTTTCAAATTTCTTTTTTTTTTGTATACCTATGAAAAAAAAATACTGCAATTTTTTATTGACAAGTATAACTTAAATTAATTACAAAATATCAAAATGCTTTTTGAGTTTTTCTAAATTTTATTAAAAAAAATTTATAATTTTTTGAAACGTAGTCATCTATGAAACAAGTGACTAACAATTGAAAAAAACGCTTGTGCCATTTTGGTTATTTTTCTTTTCGTTTGTTGAGCTGGAAAATTTTTCAGTTTTTCAAGAAAATGGATATTTGTGGCTCTTCTCACAGCAGTACTGGGCTCCAGAGAGTGGCTTTGAAAGACATCGGGCCCGACATGGACAACATTTTAATCGTGGCACTGATTATTGGCAAGCAAAGACCGAGAAAATTTCTGGATAAAACTAAAGAAACTGAGCAATACAAAGCTGTTTGGACCTTTACTGTGCGAGATTCGCCAAGAGATTACATAAATGTGACCTACTGGGGCTCCAGTGAGGATGTTTGCACTGCCAGTGATAAATTCTACACCGGGGATGTTGGTAAGTAAAAGTCTGCTGTTTGTGAAAAATTTACATTTCCGTTCACATTTAGTGGAAATAAGAAATCCTAGAATCAACGTCCGGAAGTTTAATGAAACTGGGGAACAGTTTTGCCCCATGGTGACCTCCCCCTACTCCCTCACTCTGAACGAACACTCCACGATTTTTCCCTTCAATGGAGACACATTTTTCCTAACAAAGTTGTTAAATTTCCCCACCAAACCCCTAGCAGGGTTTGTCCCCCTTCGCGATATTCACAATGAAGGAGCTAACATGAAAGGTGAAGTCTCAATTCTACTTCCACGTCCTAAAGTGTTATTGTAGAGCGCCTCGTTGACATTTTGGGGGCTATAAGGAGCGTTGGGAATGTGCGAACTGTCAGTACGAAAAGGGGACAAGAAATGCAGCTGCGAGAAATTGTCATTTTCGACCACACCAGTGGGGGGTTAAAAATAACAATTTGGGATTCAGACATTATAGCGAGGTTATTATAACTTTCATAATTTATTTCGGGGACCAATTTTTCGGTTTAGGGCGAGTACATGGAAACCGCGGACAACAATTCTTTTTATAACTGACGCAAAAGTGGAGTGGTCAACGTTTTTGAGGACCTACTGTGCTGGAGTCACTAGTCGTTCGATTATTACCGAAAATCCGATCGGACAAGAAGCTGCCACGTTGGCTAATTACGCTAAAAATGCTCCTTTGACCGCGACGGATATTCTGGATCAGTTCATTACGGAGTTACCAGATCGTAAATTTCAAAATGTAGTGTTCTATTTTTTGTGTAACTCTTTTTCTCAGCTGAGTCGATCCAGAATGTGATGTGTGTCCAACAAATTCTCACCAAGATCCGGAATTTTCAAGAAAATACCTTAACAGACCCGCAACTAACAGCTCTGATGTTTGTTGTCATAACTCAATTAGATTTAGATGGTCTTTCACCCGTGACACGAGTCAAATGGTCTACCCTACATAAGTTTAAAAGAAAATAAATCAACGTTTCTATTTTTGTAGTGGACACTGTAAAAGTCGGCTTGAAAACATGAATTCCGTTTGTGAAAATAGCGAATGCTCCTCAAATTCTAAGAGTGTTGATGTCTCCTTTGATATAAGTGTCCACTTATCTGATCACACCGGTACTCTCAAGAATTGTCGTTTGTCGGGTGCCACTGCTGAGCAAGTATTAAAGTGCTCAGTAGGTTTTTTAACGTTCAATTTCTGGTAGTTAAGTTCAGTTTTAGGTTCAGCAGTTTATGAGAATGACCGACAGGCAAAAATGTGAACTGAAATGGAAATTTTTGATGGAACGCTGTGCTGTTAGAATTATAACACTAATGTCAAGTAAATTCAGTCCGCGCATCGTAATCGTAAGTTGTGAGCGAGCGAATGCCTTAGAAACAGCACAAAGAATACCAATTTGTTAAGTGTGGGTAACCCTAAGTCTTACTAAATTAGTTTTTACTTAAAAATCGTTAAGTTCAAATGTTTATTGTTCGTCAAATTTGAATTAAGGTGTAAGTTGCAATAAAAAAGAACTGACTTGCACAATTTTATTCTTTTTTCTCGTACATTCAGTTAAAAACGTCTTTAAATGCTGTGGACTAGAAAAACATATTACGTCGCTAGAAAAATATCTGAATATGATTGGTGCTCTTCAAAGTCTAATCCACGATTTCATTTTGATTAGTACAGAAAATAAAGCAATTGGTTCAAGGTTTTCCAACAAATTTTCTTAAACTTTCGAATGGAATGATAAATGATTTAACAAATTAAAAAATACAACAATTAAATACTAGTCAATTATAATACACAATCGTTTTACCATTCATTTATATTTTAAAGTCTTTTTAAGACACTTTCATTTTACCTTCACCGCACAACCAAAGACATATTCTGTCAACCAGATACGAAAAGAAGAAATCAGCAAACAAGACTTGCAACAGAATAATTCGAAACTGCAAAAATGCTATTAATAAGAATGTAAAAAAATATTACCATTCTTACATCTGGAGGAAAATCGATTATTTCGAATTGTGTTGATAATTCAGGTACGATTCCCAGAGTTAGAGCTAGAACTGTTCCTCCTGATCCCAGTATACTGTACAATAATGCTTTATTTTGTCGTAAACTCTCCATATAAGGGTTTCCCTAAATTTAACACTATTTAAGTCAATTTAAATTTCAAAATACTCACTCTGTAATTAATGGCGAACGTCGCAATTTGTAAAGCCATTGATATTATGTACACTGTACTATTTACAATATTTGGCTCAAACAATTCGTCTTCCTCTTCTTCAGTCAGTACTTTCGGAGGCTCAGTCGAATTCGCTTGTTTCTCATCCCTTAAATTAAATTAATCCAAAATTACAACAACAAAAATCATGACTTACACAGGCGCTCGTAGCTTGGCTTGTTGCACCAAAAATATCAAACACAAGAAGTGTACAGCGAATTGGAGAAGTACAGTTGCGATCGTATATAAATTGAAGATATTTGGAAGAGGTCGCTGCTTTGATAATGTTTTTAGCGGCTGTAAATACTGTTTTATAAAATGTATTTTTCTAACACAAAAATTACCTTCGATCTTGATATGAATAAGAAACATGCCGCCAAAAGAAGGCCTTGCAAGGTTGCTTGCATGTCCCTTAGTTTAATTCCATCCAAGTACAATACCGATTGAGTATAAGCTAAGATAAGAGCGTTTAAAGCAAGGATTTTAAACATTTGAAGAGTGGTCACCAATGTGCATCTTCCTTGCTTTATGATATGGCAAACTGAAAAAAAAAGTTTTTTGTTTTGTTTATACCAGCAAAAACAAGTCTTACTGCACATAATCGAAGATAATTTGCTTGTAAATGGTGATGCAATACTAGCATCTCCCAACTTCACAACTTGCGTCTCTTCCAACTCCTTCATTATCCTGTTCAAATTAGCTTGCAATTTCTCTCTTTGATCGGCACTCCTGACATGATTCGTTTTGTTTTTAACCACTTGTACCTCTTTCAGTTTCTTCTTCTCTTTTTCAATCTTCTCCTTAAACTCTTTAATATCAGTACTCCTTTCGGGCGCATTGGCCAAAATTGCCACTCCAACATCTGCATGTTTCAATGCACCGACATCATTAGTTCCATCTCCACACATCAAAGCCGTGTATCCCAAATTTTTCATCTGAACAACGACAAACTCTTTCTGCTTCGGAGCAAATCGAGCGAAGACTTTAATATAAGGAATTATCAAATTAAGGAAAGTTTTAAAATTCTCTCTCAAATAATTCAAAGCATCACCGGTGATACACAAGTCGTATTTAGCGACCAACGTTTTGTAGTCGTATTCTAGTGGTAAGTTCTCGCTCTGGTCAATGGACTCCCACACCCACTCTCCTTTCTTCTCCGTCAAATTCAACGTAGTCTTCGTGGTAATTTTCAGTTCTTTTGCCACGTGACAAGCAGTTAGGGGGTTATCACCGGTGATCATAACCACGCAATGGGAAGCATTTTGTAATTCTTTGATTACGACTTTCGAGTCGCTTTTTAAAGGACATGAAATTATCACAAAACCGGCAAATTTCAACTCTTTTTCTATGTCTTCTCTTGTTTTCTCCCTCAGTTCTTGAGTGTTCAAGTTGCCGAGTTCTTTCCATCCTAAAGCTAAAACTCGAGCTCCTCGTCTCGATAGTTCTAAATAAACCTCGTCGTACTTCTCCGGAATGTCTGAAAACATGTCTCTTAGAGTCTCCGGTGCTCCTTTAACCGTTGTAATATAAACGGTTTCGGTCGAACCCAACGGGTTATAACCGGCAATTACAGACATCCGTTTCAAAGATGAGGAAAAATGGTGTCTGTGGAATATTTTCAGTCCCGGAGATTTCCCTCTTTTCGGTATAACCGCGTCGGCTTTGGTTAAATTCCAGTCGATTGCGGTTAAAGTTGCTTTTTCCAACGGGTCGCCCACTAAACCATCATCCATTTGCACTAGTGAATGACACGTGGCTAAAACATGAACCGATTCAACAGGAACCTCACCGATCGGTGTAACCGATGAGTCGTCTTTAGCTAGTGCTATCCCCTCTACTACCAAATTATCACTGGTGAGGGTACCAGTTTTGTCGAAACAGCAGATATCTACTTTACCGGCAAACGGAATTCGGAACGGTTCGGTACAAAACACGCCCAATTTCGACAGTGCCAACAGTGATGTATTGACAGCTAACGACAATTCGATTGGTAGTTCTGGGGGAATCACGGAAGTCAGAATTAGGGTGCATTCGAGGAAGAGTTTGTATCGACTTCGGTTAGGATCTTCGCACCCTTTGTTCCAAACATAGACGGCTGCGGCTATAGCAAAAATCAGCAAAAACATAATAAAACCAAACGTTTCTTTATTGTTTGCTGTCACTCTTTTAACTCCGAATAAAATCGTTCGCAGGAGTTTGCCTTGTGAGGTGTTGAAACCCGTCCGGAGGACATAAGCCACGCAACCGTTGTCTTGGGGTCTTAACCCCGTCGTTGCTTTCGTAGGTGGCGTGTGTTGAACCACTTTAGTACCACCAAAAAGCACATGTAATTTCCCATCAGTGTCAGGGTCTAATTCCTTTTTCATGTCACAATTTTCAATTGCCTCCTTCATCTGTGGTACCGACTCCCCCGTCAACATACTCTCATCAATAATACACGACCCTCTCAACAAAAGCACATCGCATGGTACCAGATTATCCTTCTGCGACCTCGTTATCGAGATGATATCTCCTGGGATTAACTCATCTGTGGTTATAGATCTCCACTTTCTGTTCCTGTACACAAGTAAACTATAAGGCTTGTTGCCCATTTTTCTTATTTCGGCCATGTTTCGCAATTGTTGTTGCACTAGAGTGCATTCGAACATTACCAACATGACAAGAGTGAAGATTGAGTAGTACCAGTATTTGTCTAAGCACCACAAACCCACACAGAAGACTTGGAACACGAAGAAAGGGGCTGTTGCTCTCTCTTTGAACAGTTCCATGAATTCGGGGACGACCATGTCAAGGTGGTTTTTGTTGTAAAGTTGTTCGGCTTGTTGGATGTCTTCTTCTTCTTGATAGCCCTTCCAGGACATGTATTCGGAATACTGCTTGTGGATTGGAAATTCCAGACCTCGGAATGTCTTCTTGTCGGCGTCCCATAAGTACTTCGTTTTTTGGAAAATAAACCATGGGTTTTTGCTGCCATCCTGGAAGAAATGGAGAATTAAATGGGGCGTAATTACTCCAGTATTTGCTTAAATATGCACACTTCTTTGAAATGTGTTTCATAATGAAATTAACAAAATTAACGCGCTTTTAAGTAAGTAGTTTCTAATTGTGTGCAAATAAGCTTATAATTTGAACTCACTTTGCTTTGCTGCAAGCGAACGAGTTCCGACGATCCATTGTTGGCCGTGGGTACAACCTTGACGACTGTGGCTTTGAAAGGGTCCTTTGCCTGCAACAAATCACCATTACCCCCATTGAAACATAACCCACAAATCTCACCTTTCGACACGTGAAAAAGCAATTAACATGAACAGACCAGTAACATGCTAAACAACACAATATTTGTACACAGCCAACAGCAGCTAGACCCACAAAACCCCCTTCGTAATGTTCAAAAAACCCATAAATTCCGCACCACACGTAGATCCAGCTTGTGTAAATAAATATAAACGGTAAAACGTACAAATGAAACAAAGTTCCTTTTTGAGTGTATAATGAAACTGACTGGACCAAATCATCCAGTTTTGGTGTTACACTCATGATTTTCGGTTTAATTTTAAGATGATTCGGCCGACTGACACATATGTGAGTAAATTTTGACAGATTTGCAAAAAAATGACTGTCGAATAATGATGCGCACGAATGACGCCGCGCCTGATGGCAGTAATCCGCGAAATCTCTTTCAACCGAAAAAACAAAAACAAACGTACCATTAAAAGGCAAATCGTTTAAGAGTTTTTAAGAATTATTAACGAAAGGTTCCCAAAATTAAAACACGTTAACTAGTCAAGATTTTTTATTTTTTTTGTAGTCAATGATTAAAACATGAATAATCAAATGACGAAGATTTTTGTTTATGTATTAAATGAAATCCACGTCCTAGTTGGCCAGTTGTAGCTCACAAGGTTGTGGAACCTGCAAAAAACATAGAAATAAGCATTAACTAACAAAATTATGCAAGAAATTACAGAAAAAATCGCAAAACGCGTGGTTCTATTTATATTAGTGTTGACCAAAAAATATGTATCACAGCCATAGTCTGTAACGCCAACAGTGGAACGAGACAGGTGGAAACAGTGAATTAATATGCCCCCAATGTGAATTGACCACACTTGAACAAATGTATGGGTTTTCCACCGGGGGTTGATAAAAGTTAAAGCCACTTACATGAGAGTCTACTTAGACCTCGCACGCATCTTCCTGCGCTTTCGCTTTAGCCTTCGCATACGCTTCTTACGCCACTGAAAATAAAAAATAAATTAGAACAAGGTGGTTATCAAAGTGAGGTTATGAGTTGCGTCACATGAAATTATTGAGCCAATATCCACGAAAACTGATTAAAAAAGTTTTCGCAACAAATACATTAAACAATAACTGCGACTTTGTAATTTTGGGAATATTTTAAACGGTCAGAAAACCGCCTTTTTGTGCGAACTTTCAATAAAAATTTTTACTCAATCTAGCAAAAAATCGCAAATAAAAAATATTGTAAAACTCACCTTCGCTCTCATCTTGAGCTGTTAAAAGAATTCCCAGCTAAAAAAGCCAGAAGATTCTTAAAATAACAGCAGATTTCTTGCGTGAACCTCACACAACAAGAAATGGCAATGAAAGAGGAAGTCGGTAGGCGGATTCGAGATGTTTATGAGAACGTTTCGAGAATAATCCGCCAGAGGAACGCCACATCCGGAGCGGGAGCTTCAAATTTATTAGCCACTTTTTACTAAATTCAACCTCTAAAACTACAAAAACTATAAAATTTTACTTTATCAATTTGAACTGGTTTACAAAAAGACATAAATGCCAAAAATTGTGTTGTTTCCGCATTTTTTTTATTATTTTAATAGACATGGATTGTAAGTCTACTTAAAAACATCTTGTACATTAAACCTACTTTTAATTATTAAAATGAATCAAAGTTACATTAACAGTTAACTAACAATAACAGATTTAGACTAACGTTAAGATATTTTGTTGTGCAAGCAATACTAAATTTCAAACAAAAATAATAAATCATGTTAAATTAGTTCAAAAGACTTGTCTTGGTCACGTGACCGCAAGCATGTGTTGGCGCGAAACCACCAAAAGTGCCAAGTGTCTGTTATGGTGGCTGTTTCAACCCTCATTAAAGTGTCATTATTGCCCCATTACTCTTAAACTACATTAAAAGTGCTGATAGCAAACTCTCCTTTCTCATGAGTACATATTTGACTCGGTTCTGACTCGCTTGTGTGCCCCCTCAAAATGACCCCAGAACCACGTACCAGAAGATCAACAAGGCTTCATCTGAAGCAAAAGTCTTCAGAATCACGAAGAACACGAAGACCAATTATAATTTCAGACAGTGAAGAAGAATCGGAGGTTATTTACATAAATCTAAAGCCCCTTTCGCGTAATGTAGACTTGCCAGAGAGTACCCCCATCGTTGATAACGAGAAATCACCGTTCAAAAAGCCCCCCAGCACCCCGCACAAAACCAAATCCAGAAGCCCCCCCGAAGACCGCACCGTGACGCCCCCCAAACAGCGGAAAGTGAGTGGAAATGACGAAAATCTGCCCACCACACCCACGGTCCTGCTCCAAAAACTGTCTCTGATGAGCCCCCAGGAACAGTCAAACAGGAAAAAGTTGTTCCAGGACGATTTGTATCAGAATGCGAGGAGGGCTTTGCACAGTTCATGCCCAACGAATATGCCAGGTCGTGAAAAGGAATTGTGTGATTTGAGACAGTTTATTTTAAAACATTTGACTGAGGGGACGTCAGGCACGTTGTACATAAGTGGGCCCCCAGGTACGGGGAAGACAGCTTCGTTGAATTTGATTTTGGAGGATCAGGAAATCGCGAGAGGGATTCAACACGTTTATGTCAATTGTACGTCGATCAAGTCGTCTGGTTCGATTTTTTCGAGGATTGTCAAGGATTTGGGGATTAAAACCAGTGGGAAAACCGAGAAGGATTATGTTAGTGCGATTGAGAAGTTCCTCCAAAAGGGACATAAAACGGTGTAAGTAAAGGAAAAAAAGTGTGATTCTAAAAAAACATGATTTTTTTTTTATTGCAGTCTCCTTGTATTGGACGAAATCGACCAATTAGAGAGCAAGAAACAGTCAGTTCTTTACACAATATTCGAATGGCCGGCCAATCAGAACTCTCGCTTGATCCTGATAGGCATAGCGAATGCCCTGGACTTGACCGACCGAATCCTGCCTCGCCTCCAGGCCCGCTGCGAGCTGAAGCCCCAATTGATGCATTTCGCCCCCTACACCAAGCCCCAAATCGTCGAAATATTCACAAACCGGTTGAAAAATGCCGGCGTTTTGGACATATTCTCCCCAGTGGCGTTGCAAATGTTGGCAGGCAAAGTCGCCGCCATTTCAGGGGACGTCCGTCGGGCTTTGGACATCGGGCGACGTGTCATCGAAATGGCCGACAGGAAAAAACGCGGCGAATGTGTCCTCAAATCCGTGGAAAATTTAGCAACGGAATTGGAGGAGGAAAAGGAGAAAAAGGTTCAGAGTGTCGACTTGAAACAAGTCATTCAAGTTTTGAACAACGTCTACGGAACGACGCAAAATCTTGATGAGGAGGTTGAGGACTCGTTTCCGTTGCAACAGAAAATCATCGTTTGTTCGTTGTTGTTGATTTTGAAAAAAGCGAAGAATAAGGATGTGACAATTGGCCGTCTGCATGATGTGTATAGGAGGGTTTGTGGGAAAAGGAATATTCAAGTTGTTGATCAAGGGGAGTTTGTCGGACTTTGCTCCTTGATTGAGACCAGAGGGATCATGAAAATTATCAAAAAGAAAGATCCCAGAATGAATAAAGTTAGTCTGGTGTGGGATGAAGAGGAAGTTAGTGGAGTTTTGAAGGATAAACAGTTAATGTCAATGATTTTACAAGATGACAGTTGCTTAGGGAAATTGTAATCAGATTTTATATTTATGTCAATGAGTGTTTTTATTTATTAACTGAACATTTTTTAGACTAAATACAATGTAATGTTTTTTTTTAAATAACATGCAAGGAACCAGAGATGAAAATGTTTTAGTTGTTTTTTCTGTTTTGTGTCTCGTTTGGGTGCGTTAACAGTCTGGTGTATTTTATGTTCTTAGTGTTGGTGACAATGCCATTGGAAGTTGTTTTCGGTGGTGTACAATTGCAGAATTAAAATTTCGGGCACTATTGTCATTTTCACAATGTAAACTCTAAAACAACTTTTACGTTAATAACCTCATATTTTACTCTTGTCATGTTTATGTCATTTTAACTTAAAAATAGCGTCACTATCAGAAAAGTTTAATTGTAAAATGACACTAAAAGGTAGTTTACAGTGAACTTTTTGAAGTGAGAGAGAAATACTGCCCGAAATTTTAATTCCGTAACTGTACATGAAAAACTCTTGAGAATTCATTTCTAGTAGATTACACACAATAAAAAATGTCGGTCTGAGTTGAATTTTCCAATGCCTTCGTGAAAAACACTCTTAAAGTTTGTTTTTTTAAACGGAAATTCTTAAAACAAAATTTTGGTGAAAAAGTTGCTAGCAGGTTAGCCACTGCCACAAATATAGTCTGTTTTTGTCCCTAGAAATTTTGTTAAAAAATTATGCTTATGTCCAAAAATAGAATTCAGTGCTAATAATATTGATAGAACCACACTGTGGACAAAAATGAGCTTCTTACTACAAAAACTTTAATAAAAAAGAGTGTCTATATCGAAAAAAGTTATTTTGCAAAAGATACAAGCAATTTCCAAAAAGTGTTCCCAATTTGTCCCCGTTTTTTGTGTTTTTATTTCTAAATTTTCTTTATTGGACGATTTTTTTACCATGAATGAATTTGTTAAAGTTTCCTAAATTTGAAATACGAAGTGAGTCTGTTGGTAAGATTTGGAAGTATTTTTGTTAATAATTTGAAATACTGCAACCGGATACGGTTTTGCTTAATAAATACTTGACGTACAGTTGCGGAATTAAAATTTCGGGCAGTGTTTTTCTGCCACTTTAAAAAGTTCACTGTATACTCTTTTTCATATTAATGTGCATCATGTAGGTTGTAGAAGTCTAAATGAATCTTTAATTTAAAGTCCGATTTACACAAAAAGTGTCATTAATGTCATTCAAAACAAATTTAATTACATATAATGCCAAAACTTTATGTGTGCTATCCTATGTTGATTATGTTGTTAATTTTAACTATTTTTTGGTACACATTTATTTGAAAAATTAATTTTTAGGGAAGATTGAGTTTAGGATTCTTTGAATTTTCGCATGGTTGCCACCTTAAAATGATCCCTTTCAACGACTACTTCGATGCACATTAATATTAAAACGAGTATAAACTACCTTTTACTGTCATCATGACTGACATTTGACAATTAAACTTTTTTTTGTTGTTAAAATTGTTAATTAAACAATTTGTCTGAGGAAATTTATTAATTGAACTAAGTATAATTAAATCATCGCTTTGATCTTCTGCCTACCCGTTATTATGCCACAAATCACTATTTTTGAAAGTAAATAAGTCAGAATGACATAAACATAACAAGAGTAAAAAATGAGGTTATTAATATAAAGGTTGTTTTAGAGTTTACATTATGAAAAAGACAATACTGCCCGAAATTTTAATTCCACAACTGTACAACCCTCAAGATTGTTGAATTGTTGTTAATCAAAAGCGTACTCCAATGGATTCATTTATGTGGATCACTTTGTATTTTTTTTAAGTGCATAATTGAAAAAATAGTAAAAAAAGAGACTCGTTACAGAGGGCAATTCCAGCTACTCGTATTTGAATATACTATTTTCATTTGATTGAAGAAAATGCAAATCATTTCTTACATTTAACGACTTTGTTATCTGATTTCTGTTTTATCTTATCTTCTTTGAAACTCAAACAATAAAATTTCATTCATACCAACATTTTATGAAAATGTATGATTGATACCACATTCCTCGGCTTGACTGTTGATAAAATGTCTAAAACAGTAATGATTTCGGTACAATTCAGTCTTATTGGGTGATTTTTTATTCATCGCTCTCCATATTCAGCTAACGAAACTATTATTTTATTTATTCGAAATTTCTTAAATACGAAAATCGCCTCTTCAATAATCCCCAAGCAATTTAATTGTTAAAGTTCTCAAGAAAATTCACTCATTTAAATTTCACCTCGTCATGAATAATAAACATCAACAATTTAATTTTATTAGGTCAAGCATTAGTTCGGAACGCTTGAAATTTACATTTTTAATGCGGTGGCCACTCTGTATAGTGATCAATATTCAAAGACACCAATCCTTTATTATTAATTTCTTAATGAGTAGGTCCGTCGATATTTGACTAAATTACTATGTAGCGTTGTAATTTCTTAAAAATTCATTCGCTACTATCAAGGCACGCATTCATGAGATTTATAACAAGGAAAAAGAAAACAATGCAATATAACTCATATATTCTCTGTAAACAATACAACAATAATGGCAAAATTTGGCATTAAATGCTTTGGCGTTATTAATTAATAAACCCATGAATGAACGAACATCAATTAGATAAAACATAATAAATACAAGATACAATAATAACACTATTCAAGTAAGAAAATTCTTTAAAATTAATACTACATGAAAATTTGCTATCAATATGTGAAAATACTCTGTAGAAATACTCTATATTTACGACTAAGGCAAACCTGTTAGTCCTCTGAATAATTATCACTAGAAATCTGACTAACTCTCATCCATTTTATCACTACCCCCCTTTTCGGCTACTTCCCCCGTATCTACATTAACAAACTGTTTTTCCCCGTCATTGTTATTAAACTTGTCGGTAACTTCCTCCACTCCCTCCTCAAAAATCACATCCTCCTTCTCATCCTCCACCTTCCTCGCCACCAGCTTCAAACTATCACAATACATGTAACCATCCACTTGGCCCTTATTCGGCACAAAGTGCAACTTGGCATGCTCCCTCAAAAAGTGCACTTGCGGAACCGAGTAATCACAATGCTCACACGTGTAGTTACTTTTACTCCCCGAGACGCTCACGTGTCGCTTCTGGTGGTTATCCACCGCGTCCTTCCGGTGATTCACATACGGACAATTCGGACAATTGAACGTCACGGCCTTCTTCTCCTCCTCCTTCGGACTAGCACTATTGACTAACAATCGTTGCTGGAGTATATTCAACGCCTGCTGATCACCGAGCGACAGCTTCTTATCACTAGCCTCAATGGTAACTTCTTCATCATCGACTTCCATTTCGACGTCGTCGGCGCCGCGCGCCGCCAACGCCTCCGAGTTCATCTTGTGCTTCTTCAAGTGTTGCACATAATTCGCGTAGTACTTCACCGAGTAGTCGCAATACTCGCAATTGTAGCGCTGTTTCGACCCATGAAGGTTCAAATGGACTTTGTATTGCTCTCGTTTCTCGAACGCACTGGGGCATTTATGGCACTTGTAGCGCTTCTCCTTCATCTTGCCGTTCTTCAGGTACGTGGGGTACACGAAATTTGGGTTGCCGTGCATGAGACTCCCGAATTGGGGGTCACTGGCTTTGGGCGATGGGGGCGACGGCTCTTTTAGCTTTTGCTGGGCTTCGGACTTTTGCAAAAAGAGCTCGGTTCCCGATAACGGCACGTTGAGACTACTCTTCGGGGGTTTGTTTAGTATGGCACTAAGACTCTCCACGTCCATTTCCAAATCTTTGATCTCACTACTACAACCCGAAACCAACCAAATCGTCTCACCTTCAGTGTTCATACTCGAGTACAAATCAGGGGGTTGATTGCTCGATTTGTACATAGTTTGCAACACTTGAGTCCTGTCTTGGTACTGTTGCGAGTGCACGTTTTTGTGTGCCAATAAATGGGGTTTTTGTCGTGCTGAGTACGAGCAATGGTCGCATTTGTAGTACGACCTCAAACCATGCAATCTAGTGTGGATTTTAAACTCGTTCTCTTTTAAAAATCGAGCAGGACACTCGCTACAAAAGTACAAAGTGTTATCCTGTTCTTCGGGGTCCCCAAAACCGGAACTTTCCGGATTCTCATAATCGTCCAAATTGATGGTTTCAAGGGGTCGAGTATTCAAAAACTTGCTCAATTCACGGATTTGCTCCTCGTCCGATTTGACTTGATCTACGAGACAATGAACCGTTCCATATAACCCTTGATGAACCTTTGAGTGTGATGATAACACTCCCGCGTTGTTGCACACGTAGTTACACTCACTACAACGATGCTCTACATCGTTTAATCGACTCGAATTCGGGTTTTTCTCCCTCACACTGTGCATTTTCTCATGCTCTTGGATATTGACTTTTCTCAAGTTGACATGAGGACAGTAGCGACATTTAAACATTTTGGAGAATTTATCGTTTTTGGAGACCCACACCAGTGGGATATCTGGGAAATTCTGGCTCTCGAAACCCCCCGAAGACACCTCCTCAATCTCATCGGAAATATCATCGAGATCAATCACATCTCCGTTTTGTTTCTGAGGTGTGATACTAATCCCATGGACTTTCAAGTGTTGGTGCAACAAGTGTCGCTTACTAACATTATAACTACACTGGGTGCAAGTGTATTGGCCCCCTCTAGGTTTATGAAACTGCTTATGGTAAGTATACTGTGATTTGGAATTGGTCACGTAGGGGCACACCATACATTTGAACCTCTTCCCGAGGTCCCCTTCCGGACTCGAGTACAACTTATTGAGGAAATCCTCCGGATCGCCGATTCCATGAAGTCTCAAATGATCGAAGAGATTTTCCTTCTGGTTGACGAAATAATTGCAAAATTGACACTTGAAGACACTTTCGGTTGTCGGCGAATGCCCAGGGAGATGCTCGTCGAATTCCTCCTGACTATCACTGGAAAAGGGGCACACATTGCATTTGAAAGCCCCATCTTGGGGCACATCCACGTGATCCGGTTCATCGGTTTGTTCTTCGATTTCGAGTTTTTCTTGGCCGTTTTTGTTGCTAACGACGCGAATGTCTCCGCTGTGTTTCAGACGACAGTGGCGCTGTAAAAGAAGGGGGCTGTTACAGTGACAGCTAACAGGGTTAGGGACAAGGCTACGAATCGCATGCATGATTTATAGAGTGATGAGTCACTCGGTATGTATTCAAGTGAGTTTTAAATATTTATGGTCCAGTTTTGGAATTATTTCAGAAATGTGTGGTGTTATCGTTAAAAGGTTACGGCATTGAAAAGTAAAGGAGGTTTTGTTACGTGCAAAATATCACCCAAATAACCAAACTACTATAAAAATTCGTGTTAGTGCAGTGGTTAAGCATGCATTTATATCTTAATCTAAACAATTTTAGTATCCTTGAAACGTTAAAAAATAAATAACGAAGAATGTAAGCTAATAAATACCATTCTAGTTTCAAGAAAGAAAAAAAATAAACGAAACTAAAACATACCGGGCATGTTGGTCGTTACTACGAACGGTAAAATAAAAAATAGTCCTAAAAAAACGTTTGAAACTAAAAATGGCAACATCGCAAGTGTATTTTTTGAGTACTTTTACTTATTTCATAAAGAAAATTGCATGAAGAATAAACAGAATTTATAGATTGGTAACAGATTTTGTGACAAATACCTCAAAAAGTGAACTTGCGAGGTTGCCATTTTTCATATACAGTATGTCCCCGGAAAAAAAATTTATCATTGATTTTACAAAAGAAAAACATTTTTTGCTTTACCTTAAACCAGCAAATCTGTAATTAAAACTTCATTATTCTAACTCTGTAGAAAGAAAAGTTAATTTTTCTCTTGATTTTGGACGTAGAATAATTTTTCTGTTTTTTAAGTCCTATCACATTGGCGGTTTTATTACATATTTTGACAATGATGCACTTTGACAAATGAGTTTACGCAAGTTAAAGTACAAAAATGTTTATGAAAAACATAATTTTAGTAAATAAAAACTCAAAGAAACAGCTTAAGGAGAAGAAACAAAGTCATTTTAACAAAAACTACCATTATTTAATTAATAAATTAATTGTCAAAGTGACATACAGGATGCGCCAGAACTCGCGCCCCAGAGAAAAATGCCATGTAAAGTAAAACACCAGGAACACGGAAAAAATGTTAAAAAAATTCTATCTATAACAATTTAGAAGTTATGAGAGTTTAAATTTTGCATTTTGACTATTTATTTCTGTTGGAAAATTAATTTTCCAAGTTTTTTTTGGTACAGACTATTAGAAGGGGATACAAGGAAGCTGTATCCTAAATTGTACAAAATTTTTGTACTTTTACTGAATAATTATAAAAAAAAAACATATACAAGATCATCACTATCATTAAATAGACATAAAAAATGTGAAATGTCAAAAAATTTTGACAGAAAATTTTTTAAACATTGTTTTTCATGTTCTTTCATCTTATCTTACTTGAAATTTTTCGCTGGGGCGCGAGTTCTGGCGCACCCTGTATAGTTGTCAAATAAATAAAACCGCCAATGTGATAGAACTTAAAAAGCAGAGAAAAATTATTTGAAATCACAAAAAATTAACTTTTCTTTTCACTGAAACAAAATAATGAAGTTTTAAGTAGATTTGCTCGTTTCAGGTAAAGCAAAAAATGTTTTTCCTTTGCAGTTTTGGCGTAAAATCAAAGATAAAAAAATTTTTCCTCTTGTAAACCCAATCCGGAGACATACTGTAGAGAGGCTGTATAATCTAATACAGGATTTCTAGTGGTGGCAAATAGAAAAATTAATAATTTTTACACAGAGAAAATTACGAAGAGAAAAAAATTTAATTAAATTCAATAAAAACATGTAAAAATCATTATTTTGTTGCGATTTAAGTA